TGTCCACGTGGGTGATGGGACACCCTTTTTTCCCCCCAATGGTGTCACATTATTCCACTGCTCTACGATGTGCAGCAATGTGGCAATAGAGGCAGAAAAGATGAGCACTGGTTGCTGACAAACTAGAGGCTTGTTTTCAAGTGACTCCACAGTGTCCCCTTTAATTGGTCGGAGTATTATATCTTTTGACCAAAGTTGTGTGCAGAAACTTTTCTCTAAAGGCGCATAAACACCCACAAGCAGCAGAGTGGCTTTCTGCCCTCAGCCTCTCTAACCAGAAGCGATGGGGAGTTGCCAACTTCCCTCCAGCCCATGTGCAAGGAACAGGAGGCATTGTGTAAGGAACAGGAGGCATTGATTGAATTGCTGCTTGACAAAGCAGAAAATGCTTATTGAGCTAATGCACCTATGTGTTGGGATCGATCTCCCAATGTCACTGCCAAATGCACAGCAGGAAGAGGGGAGGCGGGGCCCAGGAAACCAAACGGACGGAGGGAAGAAACCCAAAAGTCAGATGGGAGGGAGTCATGCAGGAACATAAATACCTGCTGGGACATCAAGGCAAACGTTCAATCTGTACTGAAACAGGGATTTATTTCTTAAACCCCCAACAGTATGTGAGCTGCTGAATGGTTGTCTTTTGTGTGTCCTGCTGTAGGATTTTGGCATCTATGGTAAGTCAGTAGGATGATGCGGACTGTGGCATCTTTCTACTGATGACAATGCTTTTTCTCCCAGAGCTGCATCTTCTGCAGCCGTCCAATACATTCCACACAGGATCAACAGTATTGTAATTGTGTTTTTTTCTCTCCAACTGTCGTCTGCACATTTTCTTCTGTATGTCTCAGTCTTACCTTGCCCTTTCCCTAACCTCAGTATAGTACTTCTGATTTACATCAGCATCTTGGTTCTTCCTTCAACTTGAGTATTATAACTAAGAGGCACAAAAAAGAATAATAAATCTGCTCCTGAACGTCTAGGAGAAATCCAATTTTCCATCCTTCTGTTATCACCATTTGCAGCAACTGTATTTGTCTATCTATTAAAGATGGCAAGACGTCCTTATACGAAACCTTTTGTACAAAGTGCTAATAAATTAATGATCTCTTTATTTTGCACTCTAAGCTTTTTTAAAGAACCGTTCTCGTGACAAATGGCTTTTACAATATGCAAGGGTATAGTACTAATAATCCATTTTCCTGAGGAGATGGTGACAAATTGAGGAAACGGTCTTGAAGACACCCAGGAAGAGAGGGCATCAGTCTTAATGGGGTCAAAGGTCATCCCACAGGAGGTGCTCTTCATGCTTCCGCCTCCTCCGCTGTCCTTTGTCCCGGTCGCGGGGAACGAGAGGGTGTGTGTATGGAGGTTGGAGGGAATAAAAGGAACGTAAGCAGATGATGTAAGGTACGGATGGGGTGATGGATGGCGTGGCCCCTCGTCTCTCAGCGTGTATGCGTGTGCACGCTCGAGCGCGTTCATGCGCCTTCTGCGGTTTCGCCAGCGTGCGCAGCAGAGAGAAATGCGTTGATGGACGAGGAGCATCCTTTGCCGTTTCAGCAGTGGAAGTGCTTAAAGCACTCGGGCCCCCGGGGATGGGCCGTGTCACAGTCTTCCCATCCTCGTGACTTATGAACCTGCCATGACAAACACCCAAGGGCTGATGCTGCAGGTTCTGGTGTGTGTGTGTGTGTGTGTGTGTGTGTGTGTGTGTGTGTGTGCGTGTGTGTGTAGGGGTTATGATATAATAGTCCACGTGATGATGGCAGAAGCAGGACCCACTGGAGACAAAACCTCCCTTTTCTCAAAAAGATGGTTTACCCATGAAGGCTTTGTTTTGCGCAATCATTTGGGAAATAATTGTGATGTATGAAAGCGTGTGCAGGGAAGGAAATTAGTTTGAGAGTAATGGGAACTCATCTCGTAACTATTTAAAATTGTTTTTCTCATTATTTCTCTGAAGCTCCTTGGCGCGACTGTTTTTTCGTTGTCTCTCTTGCTCTCCGTCTCTGCTTTATATTCTTTCTCTGTTTAGGATTTAGCCTGCGGGAATCATTTAGATAGATTTTGATATTTGAGTTTAAAGCCTACGCTTCAAAACCTTTTTTTTTTTACACACCTGCCTTGGATTTCTGAATTTTTGTGTCAAAGAAACTCAGCTCTCAGCAGGTTCTTTGGCTTTATTGTGCGTAAAGAGAGCCATTACCTTTGCACAAATTGTATTTTTGACTGCTTCAAAATTCTGCCTATCAAGTCAGTTTTGTAGGAGAAAATAATTGTGTGAGAACAAAGAGTTGTTCACTTTATCCAATACTGTCAATATTTTTTACTCTTGATGACATTGGTAAATTCGTATTGTGGGAATAAAAAAAGTCTTGGCTCTCAGGCCGGTTAAAAAAGTATTTGCCGCATCAGTGCTTCGGGCATAGCCCTTATCTGGGGATTGCTCCTGTAATGGCACTTTTAGAGTCAATTTACTGCTCAAAGTAAGATGAGAAAGACGCGACAGTGTCACATACAGCGCCGAACCTACATGTCTACACTCCGACGGTGGTGCTGTCCAATCAGTTCTGATGCAACGAGACTTCCTCTCTTGCCGGCACACACGTTTCCCCTCTCATTCTCTCGGCTACGCATGCAATTCCCCCTATTTCCCCCCCCCACATCTGTTCATCCCCCCTAAAAATAGCCTGTTCTCAAAGCGGACGTTTTGACTTATCATAGCAGGAAAAGCGCAGGTGGAACTAAACTCATCAATGATGGCTCCGTTCCATTTAGGCGTGCCAGTAATCCGAGCCAGCGTGCGCGCTATCAGGGCCCTGGCACGTCGCAACGTCTGCTGTGAAAAAGTTTATCTGTTGCTGCACCTCACTTCATTTCCAAACTCACCCTCCTCTTCTTCGATATCTTAAATGTTGCTCGGGCTTATTTCTGAGGCACAAGAGACGTTGATAGAGCCTTCACGTGGTCGTAACCGCAGGGATGAAGCCTTTACCTCCACGTGGCCATTTTGCAGCACCGCCGGCTCTAGCTAATACTCTATGCTAATCCGACAGAGTCCTTGTGTATATGCTAATGCAGTAGTGATGGAGGTGTAATAAGGTGGCCTTGTGCAGGTCAAAATAAAGGCTATGGCAAAGTGGAGCCTGGAAGTGACAAGTTAGTTCGTCGTCAGTGTATAAGGACACTACCCAAGTATTAAGCAGGTACTGCACGAGATAAATCAGTCCGAGCAGGTGTTCTATACATCCAATGGAAGATGGAAGCACCTGCTTTGAATTCACTGATGTATCTAAACGTCCCTGCTGTCTTTGTCTTTTAAGAGCCTCTTTTAGAAAAAGTAGCGAAATGCGGATGAGAATTTGGCTGATATGTTTGCACTGTTAAGAATGACGGAAAGTCCATTTATTCCAAAAATCTATCCGTGCCGACCAATGGATGAGACACGTTTGATATGTACATCAAATTGTATTGTTTCACTTAATAATGTGACAGCAGGACATCGCCTGTTATGTTGGACATATCTTTCAGCTCAACGCGCCATCTGTGAATATATACTTACAAATAGGAAGTCAGAATTCATCAAGGCTCTTCGATATCATCACCAAAGGCATCACACACAGCTTCACAGCTAAAGTGACCTGTGTGAGGGGCGCACACACACACACACACACACACACACATCCGAAATCAAGCACTTAGAGGTCATGTTCGTTGTCCGATAGTAGAATGGACACAAACTGTTTGTAGCCTATTTATTTACCAGTCATATTAATTCCACAGCCCGAGCCCCGCGGATGGCACTGTCGGATGAAATGATTGATCCGCCCTTGTTAGACCTTGCTGTTAGGAAGTCTTAACTTACCGGGATGAAAAAGGGGAAAATCAAAGTAAACAAAACCAAACCGTTTGTATTTATATTATTTATATAACTCTGCTATAAAGCATGTTGTGTGCGGCATCCATGGAAATGAAAAGATATATATAAAGAAAAACCACAAAAAGCAAGCAGCTTAATATGTTCATTTAGTTTTTTGCTGAGTAAATGATAAATACTTTCCAAATGGAATTAGGGCTGTCTTTCTTAATAAGATCACAATCGGATACAACATTGGTGAAGCAAAGAGAAAACAATTGCCCTCAAAGTACTCTAATATTTTGTCGCACATTACACTACAGAGATGGAGACATCCGGAGAGAAACGAGTATAGTGAGTGTGCGGCGTTGAGGTGCCCGGTAAGCGCCGTTGCTGCATAGGAGCCGTTCTGTCCGCCGCAGAGTTTAGTCCGGTCCCCGTGGAGGAGCCGAGTTTCATCCAAAGTTCAGCACATGTTGTGGCCAGCTCCCTCACTGCGTGGGAGTGTGTGACTGAGGCTGTGCACTCAATGACACAGTCGTGTCTGTGCTTGTGTGTGTGTGTGTGTGTGTGGGCGTCTTACACACCTATGTGGTGTTTTTAGCAAATGTACTCGTGCTTTAACGTTCGACTGTATGTCACCGAGGAGAACAGAAGCCACGGTCGCACATTCAGAGCTGCAAGACTGAAACAAGAGGTTCGGGAGCAGGAGGTTGAACTTCCTCTGAACTTGATTTGCATAATAACACACAATTAGACAAGGTTCTGTCAATACTGGGTCCTGGAGCTCATTTGCATGCGGGGGACCATGATTGAACAAGCCGGGGAGGTCGACACGGCGTCCGTGAGCGGCCGAGTGACCACTGTCCTCTGTTAAAGCACTTCAGGGACAAATTGAATGTTAAGTAGTTAGTAGCATATACGTGGTTTTAAAAAAATAGGGTTTTGTTTTATAGTTGGGGAACCTTACAAACTGTTAAGGGTTTCCATAACCCCGTCAGAAATGTGGCACCGTGTCAGCTATTACCTGTACTTTTCCCCCTGATTTCCTCGGTTCTACCGCTTATAACGCGACACAGTGCCAGATTTCTCATCGACTGTGTTTTCTATCTCTCTCTCTCTCTCTCTCTCTCTCTTTCTCCAGCTCTGCCCAGTTACACTTGCGGTAATCCCGGACAGCTGCTCAACGGCCACCAGCAGGGGTCCACGTTCAACATTGGAGACAAAATCCGCTACAGCTGCAGCCCGGGCTACGTGCTGGAGGGTCACACCACCCTGTCCTGCCTTGCCACTTCAGCGGGTACTGCTGCCTGGGATTTCCCCCTCCCCTACTGCAGAGGTAGGTAGAAGCCACAGTAGAAAGCCAGAACAGAACCTTTGCCTAAATCTGGAATACCTTTTGTCCACAAAAGGAAATGTTTTAATCGGATCTAAATTTGAAGAGAAAAGAAAAGATAGCAGAAGATAAAAGATGAAATTTAACTTGATCAATGTTTGAAACAAATGATGAAGATTGAAGGAATGAAGAATGAAGGAATGTTGATTTGGCATCAACTGTAACGCTGAATTAAAGGGCATTGGCAACTAATAACAGAATGGATGGTCTGAACGTTCTAGTGAAGATTTAAAAATGAAATACTAAAAGTAGGATTTTATCTGTTCACTTTTTTTTTTTTTTATCATAGTATTTAAATGTATGACAACCTTTTCATAGTGTTTTTATTCATCCCATTCACACGTGTATTTACACATGCCTTTGCATGAGCTGACACAATTTATATTGTGTTCATACTGATATCTTATTTACCATGACAGGATCCCGTGTGTTAGCTCACAGTCTGGTGCTTGTGCCAGTTGTCCTCCCATCACAGTCAGCATGCACCCCTCCGGCAGAGACACCTGCCAGTGTGTGTAGTTTGACCTCCCATTACACTCCTCTTGAACACGGTCCACTGTGGGCAAACGTCATCCTATTGTACTTTGTGGATTTTTGCTTTGTACAATTAATCACGAAGCCGCCACGTGTCACATCCATGACGGTTTGCACTTGCGTGTGTGTCCATTTGCCGTGTCCATGTTGCCAATGGTTCATGTCAGTGTGCCTGCCGAGCGGAGCGCTGAGACACAGTGCCATCTGCAACCGGGCCGGGAGTCAGGAAGCCCACGTTGGATTCCACATGGCTGGGTACCGCGCGCCAGCACAGTCCCCACCTACCCGAGCTCATGCAGACCCATGCACATGCCTGTACTTCGCATCAAAAAGTGACATTTCCATGAGATTATTTCACACCCTTTTTTTAAAAGGCAGAATTTGTGAAGTACTCATCTGAAGTACCTTTTTTTCCCATAATTATCTGATCCTTTCTGTGAAACCCAGCTATTTCATGTTCCTCCTCCATGCCTACCCAGGCTCCTTCCCGAAGAGGGAAAGAAAAGCTCAAGCACTAAAGGGTGTCACACTACCTTTTCAGCAGAAATGACATGCCAACAACTATAAGAAACAAGCAATTTTCTCTATGATTAATTGTGGTGTTCCAGTGCCACACAAAAGTCCACATGTACTGCAGAGTGCACTTCAAATTGCATAAGTGTGTAGACGATGTCACTCTAATTATAGATCCTTCCCAAATGTGTAAAAGCAGAACTGACGCTGCGCTTTCGGAGCGAGCGAGAACACTTTGGAACTCGGGAGAGGGCGAACGTGCACGGCGCCGCCGCGCCGTACAGCGATAGCCGCACATCAATGACACTTCTAGGTATCCTGTCTTATGCTCATCAAATTGTTCTCTCAGCTATGATCTTAAAAAACGACATCACTTGTCATGGGGGACACTTAAAAGTGATTAAACATCACTCTTCCAGTCAGCTCCCGAGACTCTCACTTAACCTCTAAACGTACCTGACAAGCTGTAAATGTCACTGCAGTAACTACAATATCAAACGCACAAATCGCTTTACCTTTGGTTTCTGCACATTTTTTCTACCTCGTGCAAAGGCACTCCAAAGTGTGCTGTTATTACGTCACAGTTTAGTTGCCCCAGTTAAAATAGATACAGATTTCAAGCTTTAGCTGTGTGAATGTCTGCTGCATGTAAACAACAAACGTTTTAATAGAGCGCATGCATTGTTTCCTCGTATCTCGGTTACCATGACACCCAGAGGAATCGAAGCAGCTCTTACACATTTTGGAGCACCATGAAATCCTACGTGACAGCCTGAAGATTCGTACGGTTCAACCTTGGGAAACATCATCTGCAGTTGACTGGGGCAACGTTTGATTAGTTTAAACACCTCACGTATTGCAAAATGTTTTTTGGTTTCATCCGGTCCGTGGCTTCGCCATTTCATTTTCCTTCCAGAAGTTCCACCGGCATGCAGCAGCCAAGAAATTGAGCAACGCAAAGAGTCTAGAAACCCTTCAAGTGTGAAGAAAGGGTCCGGTGTGGAATATCAATGCATTTCCTCATCCCTTTCGTCTGTATACCGTCTACTTCCCGTCACTCCCACCGCAACACTCACCTGTCACCCCTCTCGCCATCTCTCTTCCCTCATTGTCCACCCTCCCTCTACACTTTTGTTTTGCCCATCCTAGCTTGTCACCTGTCATCCTCTTCATCCCCTTCTTCTTGCCCTCCTGCCGTGGTTTCCCATCCACGATTCAAGTTCACACCTCACAGGTTCCCGCTCGTCCGCACACTCGCTTGGCCTCCCTCGGCGGGCTTGCCGAGGTGACAGGTAGGATTGATGATAGACAGGGACGGCGCCTCTGAGCTCCACGCCCCACTTCGAAACACCTCCCACGCAGCGGGCCCGGGCCGCTGCGAAAATGAATCCGCGGCGTTGGATTTCAGGAACAGTAACGGTTCAGCGGGGTCGCTCGAACGTCGTTTTTTTGACGCGTCTCCTATTTGGACAAATTCCGAGCAGGAATTGCCATGCAGATACCACACGATGCTCAGAGCTGTAATGAGCATATCAGAGGCTCGGGAAGGGGAGTTATCCTGGAAAGGCATGAAACGCATGCTTTGTTACTTAATGGTCTCCTCAAAGCAGTGTCGAGGATGGAGGAGTTCTGTTGATTTACATGAATCTAAATGAATCAGACTTTAATCACCCCACTCCCACGTTGCATTAGGTTGCATCACACACTCTGCCCTGCTCTGTGTTGACGGTAAACACTCAAGGGTATTTTGAAATCCTGTGGCTGGTGTCTCGCTGGCCTATGGCGTGAATTGCAGACAGAGGAACAACATGCTGTAAGTCATTACGCATTTTCCGCCTCCTACATTTTTAAATCTGGGCTTTGGCTAGTGGCAAAAAGACAATTTAAAAATGATAAATAATACATATTTAGAAAGCACAAAAGGATCTTGGTAAAAACTTCAAAAACGCCTATCTACGTTTTAATACTGAATCATTGAATCTACCTCAATCGTTTCATCTGTCCTCAAAATGCCGTCTTGATATCTTCTCAGACTGGTTTATTAGCATGTGTATCTTTCCAATTATATATAATACAATCATGTAATGCCTTTATTGTCCAATGTCTTCCTGTTTGGAAATTCTGGGAAAATGAGATATGGTTGTTTGTTATGACATTATACACCTACGTTTCTACAACATTAGAAGGCCTCTTTCATTTGAAAAATTATAGCTCTTCTTCTGTTTAAAAGTGTTTACGTGTTGAATTATGGGTCAGTGTTGTCGGTAGACGCCCCATCGTAAACTTTAACATTGTGCTTATTAGCCTTTTATTCCCTTACCTCTTACATCTTTTTTTTATACCTTCAACACCCATCTACAATTATACTTGTGAACATTTATCTCCTTCACACGGGTTTTCACCACTTCCTCTCTCCCGTGCTCCGTGCAGCGGACGATGGTTGTGGCGGAACGCTGCGGGGCCAGAGTGGGGTGATCACCACCCCCAATTACCCGGCTGACTACAACAACAACGCCGACTGCACCTGGACTGTGCTGGCCGAGCCGGGAGACACCATCGCCCTGGTGTTCTCCGACTTTCAGCTGGAGGACGACTATGACCTGCTCGAGGTCAGCGGCACGGAGGGCTCCTCACAGTGGTGAGTACATGGCCTCTCTCTCTCTCTCTCTCTCTCTCTCTCTCTCTCTCTCTCTCTCTTTCTCTTTCTGTCTCTCGGCCTACAGGTGCGCCGCCCGCCGAGAGGCACTTAGGGAAACTGGTTGAGCCGTGGTGGAAAGTGGATGGGTGTTGACCAGGTTCTATTGAGCCCGCTTGAATTCAATGCATCTATGTCTTTGACAGCCATTGATTCAACCACCAATGCAAAACATGATCGTGTACTACTGTTTTTTATCATTTAAATATCAATGATATATAAAAGGATGAAAGTGTTATTTGACATCTAGTTTCAGGTGTTTACTCATGGGCTCTATGGTTTTAGTGTGATTTGAACACTCAATCTTAGTTACCGAGCCTGAATCCTTCTCTCAATCACTCGCACTCACAAACATGCTCAACCCTAATGATGAAGAGGTAGGATTTCCTGGTGTCGGTGTGGGTCTCTCACCATCTGTGGCAGCTCCTCCTCTCTCTGACAAGTCTCTCAGCTCAGGAAGTAATTAGTGAGCTTGATTACCACCGCATGCCGTATAGTGTTGTTTCACCCACACAAACACACACACACAAACACTCAGTTGAGCCCGTTGGGCACCGATGGACATGTGTATTCACACTTTCAGCCAGACTTCTATATATTTGTGCACTTTAAGAACTTGTGCCAACAGATGTACTCATTTACACTCCCTCTGTTCCTCCCTCACTCACAAGGCTAATATTAGCATGACATATATGTATATATATATATATATATATATATATATATATATATATATATATATATATATACACAGGTGGATCGATGCACTTTCTCTGTCTTCAATGGAATATAAAAAAGCAGGTTTAGTTCCAGTAACGTGCAGGAGACAGGCGGTTTGGATGAACAAGAAAAGAGAGAGGAGACTTTGAAGTTGCAGCCACAGGCAGTTGGCAGGAAGTGACAAAGGGTGGCCTCGGCTGAGCTATTAAACACTTGAAAAGCACACACGCACACTGAGAAAGACAGGGGGATAAAGGACTGTTGATAGAGGAGAAGGGTTCAGAAAGAATATATGACAAGTAATCGTGGGAGTGAGATGGCCCCTGGAAACTTATGTCATTTTCACTCATTCACTCGTTAGTTAAGCGAAAACACTTCCTGGGGAGAACTTGATCGAGTCTGAGTGATCTTAAAACTGAGAATTGTGCCTTGTAGCCTGATATTAAACTCTCTTTGAAAATTCTGTACGGCCAACTGCGAGCTGATTGCTTCGCGGACTCCCACAGACTTCAGCACCAACTCCCCAATGTTTTGCACATTTTTACGATGTCATCAGCTTCTCTTCCCCGGACTCTGATTTGCTGTCTGTAGTCGCACTGAGCACACAAAACTCTACTGAGCCGGTCATCTCCGTGGCGATTGTTGCCACGTGCCATCGTTGTAGGAGCACCTGCAGCATGGCTTCACTGTTAAAGAGCTTGAGTAAAACAGTGGGAAGAGAGTGAAGAGGGAGAAGGAATATTGGCATGCGATACCAAGCCACAGCTGATTGTGCACATCGCAAGAAAAAAGCAGCATGTGGGCCAAAGGAGACGGTGCAGACGTACTGACTTGCCTCTGTTGTTTTAACCAATATGTGGCTGGCGTGGATTCAACTTTTTGACTTAATCTCCGAGGTCTCTTAGTGGTTCGGTATCTATAATTTTAGCGTTATCAGGGAGGGGTCAAGTCGGACAGTGGGGGCGAACAGGGTTGGCGAGAAAAGAATCCACCAAAGGTGATAGGCAGAGGTGAGGTTGGACCTTTTATAGGGGAGAATGGACGTGGGAGTGATAGATGGGTGACTGGTTAACAACCTGCCGGCTGGTGGCCAATTAGAGAGGTCAAGAGGGGTGCTATGAGGGTGCCTACCTAAAACGCACACCACATGTAATTGGACTCATTTGTACGGGGTTAACTTCGGTTTAAGTTTCAAGTTTGGTTTCTTTATTTCAGGCCTGCTATTAACTGTGAATTTGAGTTTGCAATCCAGGCCAACATTGTGTAGCGTGTCACTAGGATGATGGTACAAAGAAATAAGTGATTTTTTTTTTCTTTCTTCTTTTGATATATAACTTACACCTGTGTTGCTTTTTTCTCATATCAAACCTTTTATCCGTTGCCCTCCAGGGTGTCTCTTATCTGAAGTCTGAAGCACAAACAGGTATATTCTTATGGCTGAGTGGCAGCAATGGATGTGCTCTTATTTCACAGCTGTAGAGTGTATATAGTGTTGGAATCCCACTAGCTGCTTGAGTGTAACTGGGGGAAGCTGTAAGAGCAGTATTGATTGATACCTGACGGACAGGTTGAGCGGTCCAATGGACAAAGAGAGGCCAGGGATCAAGGTCAAAACAATGGTTCCCTGATCGATCCACAGCGGCTCAAACGAATCCAGGTCGAGTCTGCATGCTCCCAGCTCCCTTGTTATGTGTATGTGTGTCTTTTTTGTGGTTTTCTTCTTTTTGAGGAGAGAATGAGCCAGAATAGACAGCATCAATCACCATGCAGAACGTCACCCAGTGCATATGTGAATCTGATCCCGTTGCCTTACATTCTTGTTTACCTTCCCATCCATTGCTTTGATTGCCGGCCCCTGAAGGGGCGGCCGGATCAGACAGCCTTGGAGACTGACTTCAGGAGTTGAGATGTGCATGTGGATTGAATGTGGCAGTGAGAAAGGTTGGGGAAAGCGGCAAGTGAATACCACCTCTTATCACCTCTGACGGGATTTGCGAGCCCAGGGGAACACATCACTTTGCCATCACACCGCTTGCAGCCATCCACTTTGAGTTAATGTAAATAACTCCTGACGCTCGGCGATTGTCAGATGCTCATTCGCCCGCTTGCTACCAAGTGGAACGTGCATCTATTTGACTTTTGCAAAGGGCCATCCCACGTTGTGATACGCCGGTAGAGTTCCCTTGAGATGTTGAAAGCAACCATTGCAACACCTTGGTTACTGTAAATAGACAGTATAACTTGCCTTCAACTGCATTTGAAACCCCTCAGAATATTGTCATCACTCGCTAGGCTCAAAGAACGGAAAAAAAGCCATTCTCAAAACAGTGTCACATCACAGTTCCATGCTTGCACCATTTTACAGAAAGTGTTCCCATACAAAACTTATATCTTCGTTTTCCGGTCTGGTAACTTTTGAAAACTCTCAATCCCTTGAGGGATCATCCCGCTATCTTTTCATTTTTCATGCAAGCCTTTGCAGACAACACAAAGCATCCTGCGTAAAGGCAACTCCTTTTTGGGGATTTTAGAACAAGTTTGGATCCCCGCAGGTCGTCTCCCACCCTTTCTCCTCTCCCTTTTAACCTTATACCTTACGGACTTGAGACACTGACATTTAGCAGGCGTATGGATTATCCCTGCAGAGCTGATATATGTCACCTTGTCGCAACCCTCGTAGGGAGCATGTCTCTGTTTCTGAGTGAGGCAGAAAGAGATAAAGAGTTGTTGCAGGAGAGTACAGAACACTGGATATATATTGATTGGCTGTTAGGTTGACTCACCTGAGAGCGAGTGAATCTTCTTCAGAACAGCTTTCTAAGCCCATGGGCGGTTTTCTCCAGTTTCCGATGGGAGTTCCAGCAATATGAGTGTGTTTCATTTTTGTGAAGATGAATGCCTCAACTTTTGTTTTTGTGTTTTCAAAGGAAGTTTTTCATGTTGATGCTCCTGAGATTTAAGTTTAAGTTTACTGCGGCACATATTCTGTTTCTATTTGCCTGAGACGATCCCCCGCCAGATTGTTGTGAAGTGGTGTACAGGTTTGCGTAAAACCATTAAAGTGTGTGTACTTATATTTAAATGGTTTTATGCGCAGGCCAACTGCTATTTACCATGTGATTAACACACTCCCTCCATACTCTCCTACTGGGACTGAAGGGCTGCCCATCAATCAAGCTATCGGCCGCTTTTAAGAAATCTCTTTCATAATAAAGTCACACTAAGAGTGTGGACGTGATTTATTCAGAATTCTGACCATTGTTGGCCTGGCAGCACAATAACATTTGTCTGGCCACCTCTTATCCCCAATGCTTGAAAACATCATTTATTGAGCATTTGGGGGCAGTGGCAGTTATTTTCTGCAAGGGAGTGCAAAGTATTGGCAGCGTATGCAGGGGGGACTTTGCATAGATGCGTTTCTGAATGGATCCCGTGCGCTGGTTGAGTGGGCATATATTGTCTGTATGACTGTTAAATACAATTCTTTTTTGCCTCGACGTGTTTCTTCCAACGCCGACTGGTGGAGTAAAGGACGTTTTGATATGAAGCTTTTACCGGTAATTCACCACAACATCACGAGTCTAGTCACGTGTAGGAGGAGGTGAATATTCTTTTGTCAAACACTCTTGTTGTTAACTGTAATTGGTGGTCTCTTTGTAAAAAAACTCATGCAAATCATCCAAATACAAGAGCAGGCTATGGATAATGAACGGCTGTTTTCCAGATTCGAGAGTTTGAGTCGCAACCCAATGCTTTTGTGAAGTGCGTTTCTGAAGATTTGCTCGGTTTCTGTTGACGGGAATGATATGCATATATCTGAAAGCCAACAACGGAATTTCTCTACACTTTACGGTGGAGAAATTGGGTCGATGGTGGCGCGTTGGAGTAGAGAGGGTGCTCTGGAAACCGCAAGGTTGGCGGTTCAAGCCCCAGCTGCTCCATGTCCCATGTCGAAGTGTCCCTAAGCAAGACACCCAACCCCCAATTGCTGTATTTTGCAAAATTGCAAAATGTAAAAAGCCATGGGGTAAAAATGCAATCTAAGTCGCTTTGGATAAAAGCTAAATGACCTGTAATGTAAGGAGAAAGGATGGAGAAAAATACCTCATTTCTGATGCGAGGGATAGTAGAGTGAAAAAAAAGAGCGACCAGATCTTATTGTGGGGGGCTTGTATATTCCAGCTGCATCTATTTGTGTCAGGTTTCTTTTCTGAACGGCAAGT